CACTGGGAATTCATCACAGCCTGTGATAATCTGGTGTGGGATGGGAAGCAGGGAAGGTAGCCTCGACTTTCATATAGGTCATGACGTCATGCAGAAGTACTGGCAATTGAACTTAGGGTTTTCACACTGAGCTACATCCCCGGCGTGTTTGTTTGTTTGTTTGTTTGTTAGGCAGGGTCTCACTGTATAGTTCAGGCTGGCCCTGAACTCACTATGTAGCCCAAGCTGGTGATCCTCCTGCCTCAACCTCCCGAGTGCTGGGATTACAGGCGTGCACCACACGTGTCTCCAGCGCTTTTTACTTCGAGGCAGGTTCTTGCTAACTTGCTCAGGGTGGGCTCAAACTTGTGACCCACCTGCATCAGCCTCCCAGAGTGCTGGTATTACAAGTAGGTGTGCATCACCATACCTGGCCTATAACTTGAATATACTCTGATATGGAGAAGCCCAAAAGTGGTAGGTCTAAGAAAAAAAAAAATGTTAAGTAGTAACGACGTAACTGAGGCCCTAAGATTTTTTTCCCCCATTCAGGTACTGGAAAAATAAATTACTACACAAGTGAAGGACATATTTTGAAATACTAATATTATTTAAGTCAGTAAAACTGGCTTCTGCTTTTTACCTAAATATTCCCTTTGTGCTCTACACCATGATCACCACTGCTATACACCACATGTACAGCTGGGGGAAACGGCTCCACCCATCTAATGCTTCTAATTTATGTAAGTATGAATGAAAATAACAAATTACACCCAGTAAGAAGTCACAATCGCTTCTTCATACTAAAAACAGTTCCTTAAGGAAAGCCAGACTGAAATGTTTCCTTTTTACTCTGAACAAAGAAGAAAAAATAATCTTAAACCCAGTAATTTTTTCTCCCAGTAATATTTTTAAGAACACCAGATTTATTGGAGGAATTATCACTTTTTTGTAAAAACAATTTAAGCCAGTTTTATATTAGAGGTGATTAACAACAGTTGACTACCATCTAACAATGAAAGCACCTTTTTTTGCACCCTTTTTTACTTACATTGAATGGAAAAGGTAAACTAAGTGTCACTGAGGATACAGACCTGCAATTAATTTAATCTTAGAGGATTTATACACATAATTACTCATCTAACTTAATGCTCTTTTTGGTTTCAATTTTTCCCATGTAACACAGTACACACCATGTATGAAGAAAAATCTCTCAAGGGGCCAGGGATTTAGCTTAGTAGTTCCACCACCTGCCTTGCAAGCGCAAGGACCCAAGTTTGATTCCTGGTACAAAAAAAAGAAAAGAAAAATCTCTCACACGTACACAACTTTCCTCTCTAAGCAGGTTTGCCTTCCATAGTTCCTTTAATCAAGGCTATATAAGATTTAACTTCATTTTCCTCTCAAGTAGAAGCATATATACTTTCATTTTACACGGGGTAATTATACATGAGCAGGGTGGCTGTAAGTATTTCTTCTTCATAAACTTCAGGGATATTCCGAGCACCAAAAACAACAGTGAAAGGGTGGGCGATTTAGCTCAGTGGTTCTGGCACCTGCCTCCCAAGCACAAGGGCCTGAGTTCAATCCCCAGTACCAAAAAACAAACAAAACCAACAGTGAAGAGTGCGTAGGAAGTCCATGGATAACAAAAATGGGTGGGTGATGCTCAAGTATCATGAGATATATATATTTCAAGAGAGCTGGGTTTCTGGAGAACAGAGAAGAAAGGGATTGAATGACACAAAAATTAACCACCAAGGGATTGTGGAGAAAGCACTGCTCTTAAGACAGCCCTAGATTCAGAGTACTATGGAAGGGCTTGAAAGTAGGGTCAGCACTTCATGGTTAAAATATTTACTACAGGATCATAATTTAGAAGTCTTGCTACCAGGTAATTTAAACCACCGGTGGTACATGTATGACTGTCCCATTAGGTGGTTTTATTAATTGTACTGGTACAAAGATCAATGAAAGTGATTAGATCCATTTGTACCACCAGTGGTAAAAGCTGCCTGATGGGACAGTCATGTTAAACTCCAAGGTTAACGGCTGCAGCCTCCTGGAGGAAGGAAGTGACCAGGTTCAAACCACATAGCAGAATATTTATCTTGAGGTTACAGGGACCTGTTACTATCATTTGCTCCTGCAGCTGAAGGCATGCATTGGCATAGAAAACAGTAACACAGTGGCTCAGCAATACAGGATACCTAGTGATCGACAGTCCTGGAAACAATACATCTCTTCCAGTCCAGCAGAACCCTGCCTTGAATAATTATGCAAAGGGACTCTAATATCAAACTTTTATGCAAACCACTATTCTACCAAAATAGAACAAAGCCAAACAATCCTTTTCACAATAATATATAGCCTCACTTCTTTGCTGTAATTAAAGGGAAGAATACACACTTAAAACTAAATGATGAGATACACAAATGGGTTGTGAATGTGAGATTTGCAGTGTCTTCCTAATAAAACCATGGTCAAATAACTGGGTACAATCACTTTTAATAGAGGTAGCTACCCAGGAGAGCACTAACTCGTCTCATACGGAATCACCATGGTGGGCAGAGGCACTTTGTTATAATGAAGAAAGCATGAACTCTGAAGTCAGATCACAGATCATGTCCTGAGCCCAGCCACTGACTGCCGGTCACCTAACCTGAGACTCAGTTTTGTTGTACAAATAACAGAGGGGTTAAATGAGATACTCTCAGTAACTCTGAAACAATGAACTGCCGCGTGCAAAATACAAAGGAGTGGGTTTAAGGACTCACTGTAAACAAAAGGGAATGGCTGAGAATGGAGACTCTCAGGGCTGCTAGGTGATTCTGAGCTACAGACTTCAAGTTCTGACACTGGTTGAAAATGGGCCAAAGTCTTCCTGGGGGCTGGTCACAGCGGTGGGAGAAGCTGGGTGTGGACTGCTCAACACTCTCCCCTCCTATATTGTGGAAAAGACTTTTATTCTCAATGATGATAGATAGGAATGAGATAAGGAAGCCTCAGCTTTTCATCAATCCTAACTCTGAGGGAGTTGTGTGAAGGAAAGCAGCTTGCAGCTAAGGCCACTGTCTTCCTTCACTGCCAACAGATTACAAAAGTTGGAAGTTTGAGGAACTGCTAAGTTGCCAAAGGAAACTCGGAACTGCTTCCTTCTAGATTTTCTTCTAATGGAATGTCAATGTCCTTAAGGGCAAGGGAATTACTACTTGGTATCTCACTCATTATACCTGAAAATATCCTGAATGCTACCTTTGGCACAACTTCTCCCCCAAATTCCTCTCCCTCTAAAGTGTTGAGAAACACTTTTGCCATGTCTTATATTTAAGCTTGTGATTTGCCATGTGCCAGGCTTGCCATACTTGATATGCATTATCTGTCCTTGCAGGAATCCTGTGAGCTAATCTGACAGAAAAAGCTGAGGCTCACAGCAATTTAGAGACTTTTCCAAACTTGACAAGCTACGACTGGGCAGACTTGGGGATTGGAACATAGGTATCTCCAACTCCACAGTGTATCCTTTTACCCACCGAGCTCTATGTAACACACGAAGGCAGACTTTTCTACATTATTATTTTTTGGTACCAGGGATCGAACTTGGGTCCTTGCGCTTGTGAGGCAGGTGGCAGAACCACTGAGCTAAATCCCTGACCCTTTTCTACATTATTCTTAATGGCAACTAACTTTTTCAGGTTCTTGCACCTACAATTATTTCACTTTCCTGAGGACACATTTTTTTTCCAAGTTGTCTAGATATGTACTGAAAAGATAGAGCTTCAAGTAATTCTCCATCATTTACAGATCTTTCTACTCCTGAAAGATGCTCTAGATTTTTGCTGTGTATTTTTAACACAACAGAGATTACATACCTTGATGACAACTTCATTTTATTTTTTTGGTTTATTTGTTTTTGCTACTGGGGATTGAACTCAGGTCTTTGTGCTTGCAAGGCAGGTGGCAGAACCACTGAGCTAAATTCCCAGCCCTTTGTTGACAACTTTAAAGTCAATTTAAAACTGCAAAAGACAAACAATTGGTTTTGATGGTTTTAAAAATATGAAACAAGCTCTAAAAGCAATTGACTTGGACATGAGTCTACTCCTAAGTGCTAGTATTAGCTTTAAATTCAAGACCTTCAGCTCTATGCACTGCAAGCCATTCCTAACACTGTTCAATGAAAATGAGGGTGAGCTCATTCCATTTAAAAAATACCGTACTGTACTTGTGGGCCAGGGATTTAGCTCAGTGGTTCTGCCACCTGCCTTGCAAGCACAAGGACCTGAGTTCGATGCCTGGTACCAAAAAGAAAAAAATCGTACTTTTCCCCTAAGTATAAAATTTGCACATTCTCACAGCAAAAAATCTAGAAAGCACAGAAAACTATAAGAAAATAGAAACCAATTATAATACTGTCATCCAGAGGTAATGGTAATCATCATTAATATTTTGGTTTAGTTTACTTTGCCCTTTTTTTTGTTGTTACCAGGGATCGAACTCAGGACCTCAGGCTTGAGAGGCAGGCAGTAGAACCACTGGGATAAAGCCCTGGAGCCTTTTGTCAAACTTTTTAAAGATTGCATAGTTCACTGTGTTTATCTTCCACTTAATCCAGACATTTCTCCCTATCATTATATATATTTTTCGAGATGGGGTTCTCACTATAGTGGCCAGGCTAGCTTCAAACTTACAAGCCTTCCAGCACAGCCTCCAGAGAAGCCCAGCCTAATTATTCACTAAAAATGTTTACAGTACTGTAGAGCCATTATCTGGACAAAACACCATTCATTTAACCCTACTGTTGAAAATTTAGGTTTTTCTTTTTCAGTTATATATAAAAGAACATTCTTTCAAAATATTCCTTTTGTTAACCTCATTATTATTATTTTTTCTTTTTTTTTTTGGTTTTTTGAGACAGGGTCTCACTATGTAGTTGAAACTGACCTAGAATTCATTATGTAGCCCAGGCTGGTCTCGAACTCATGGTGATCCTCCTGCCTCAGCCTCCCGAGTGCTGGGATTACAGGTGTCCACCACCACACCTGGCACCTCTTCTATTATTTTTTCTATATGGACTCTTAGAAGTAGAATGAAGGTTACTGATACTACTTGCTTTTCAGAAAAGTAGCCCTATTACCAACAATATTTGTTATTTATGAGGTTTCTTTCTCCTCATTATGTTTTCTCTGATGTTGAATAAGCTGTGAGCTGTAACGATAGGCTTTCCCACATTCACACTTATAGGGTTTCTCCTTAGTGTGAGTTCTCAAATGTAGAATAACTTGAGAAGTCTGCCTGAAAGTTTTCCCGCATTCATTGCATTTATAAGGTTTCTCTCCAGTGTGCACTCTCCAGTGATCAGTGAGGTTTCGATTAGAAGTAAAGGCTTTCCCACACTCATTACACTTGTAAGGTTTCTCCCTACGATGAAGTCTCTGGTGTTCATGAAGGGTCTTACTTAAAATGAAAGCTTTTCCACACTCGTCACACTCAAAGGGCTTCTCCCCAGTGTGAATTCTCTGATGGTCCATTACCTTTGTATTAGAACCACACGTCTTCCCACACTCCTTACATTTGTAAACTTTTTTTCCTTTGTGCATTCTCTGATGTTGAGTAAGGTTTGAACTCCGGCTAAAGGCTTTCCCACACTCAGTACAAGTGTAGGGCTTCTCCCCCGTGTGAACTCTGTGGTGAGAAATGAGCCCTGAGCTCCGACTAAAAGCTTTCCCACACTCCTTACATTCATATATCTTCTCCCCGCTGTGGATTCCCTGGTGCCGGATGAGGTGGGACTTTCCACTGAAGGATTTCCCACATTCACTACATGTGTAGGGCTTCAGTCCAGTGTGGATTCTCCGATGAACCACGAGGTTGGAACTGTGACTGAAGGCCTTCCCACACTCCTTGCACTTATACGGTTTCTCTCCGGTGTGGACTCGCTCATGCACTGTGAGGTTGGCGCTCTGACTGAAGGCTTTCCCACACTCGGTGCATACATACTGTCTCTTCTCAGCCACAGGTCTCTCATTTGCTGTGGGCTCATCACACTGACTATCATCTTTTTCAGATTCTTTGTCACTGACAGCAGTGTGTGTTTTGTTGTCCTTAAATGTCCTGTTTTTGAAGCTTCTTGTCTTTCTCATTTTCTCATGCTTGGACCATTCCAATGGTCTCTCCAGTCTTCTTCTTCCTTTCAGGGAGCTTTGGAGAATGTGACTTCCTTAGCAACACTTCCGTAAGATTCTCCTGAGTACAACGTAATTCAGATTTTTCAGGAATGATGCTTTGGAATCAACATCTCCTCAGTCCCAGTTTCACCATCTGACAGGAGAGACAGAAATTAGTCATGTTCTTTGCTAGGGAAGAAGAATTATCCATAGACAACTAGATATGGTAGACCGTGGCGCGTTTTATGGAAGGTTCAAAGGCAGAGGAACTAATTGGAAAGATGAAAAAAGTCAAGTCAGACATAAAGGCCAAGGTAAAGGATTATGGAAAGCCAGGAGCTGATTGATAGGAGTCTAACAGGTTCACCCTCAGAAAAAGCAATAAATAGTATAAAAATCCACCCTGGAATCTTCCTGCTCCACTCCCAGAATTGGAGCTATAGCACTCCTAATGCTATGTTCAATTATAATATGGTCCCGCCAAAAAGAAAACTGAATGATTCTTGTATCAGTGTCTGAAATGACTAGTCTTCAGTTCACTCTGGCTTTTAGTTCTTGCTGACCTCCTTCCTTAGTAATACTGAGAGTGGCTGGCACAAAATAGGCACTCAAAAATTGTTTTATAGGATAGCAACTGCGATTCTCTCTTAGGGTATGACTAAATTCATCTTTTGGTATAGGTCCAGGTCTTAGACTACATCTTTGCATTTAAGTACTGTTTGATAAACGGTAACATAATTCTTCCAGTGTGGAAGCCTAGTCACACCACAGCCTGCATTACAAGGGCTGCTCTGTAGTTGTAGCCAATTTCATGTGCCAGTTCACCAGTCTTCAGAATGCTGCCACTCTCATGGGCTGAGTTTACTGGGTGAAGACAAGAGGCTACACTGGGGAAGACAGTTAATGCATGACAGGAATCTCTCACAGGACATGGATAGGCATAATAGTAAGAATAGTAAGAATTGGGGCCAGGGATTTGGCTCAGTGGTTCCACCACCTACCTTGCAAGCACAAGGACCCGAGTTTGATCCCCAGTACCAAAAGAAAAAAGAATAGTAAGAATAATACCTAAGAATGGCAAAGAGTGCGCGTAGGGGGAAGTACAACCAAGCACGATGGAGACTTGAACCACCTATCAGGGATAACCAGGAATTTCCAAACTGGCTTCATCATGGAGCTCTGCATATAGAGGGAACCTCAAATCTAGAAGGAGTTAACTTATCAAAAACCCAAAATGCAGACTGGACAGCACATGCCTATAATCTGAGCACTCTAGGCTGAAGCAGGAAGATCAATTTCAAGCCCAGCTTGGGCAACTCAGCAAGACCCTGCCGCAAAATAAATAAAATAGAGAAAGGGATATAGCTCATCACAAAGGCCCTGACTTCCCCAGTTCAACAACGATGATGACAAGGATGTAGGTAACTCCATAATAAAATGACTAATTTTCTTTTTACCATTTTCCTCGTCAGACTTATCCAAATGCATGTTGCATAATTAAATGTACAATAGAAACAATTTGGCATTCTACTTTTTCCAGGTAACTTATTTAATTGGTAAACTATATTCATGGTAAACAACATAACGTCTTGATTTATGTACATATACACTATAAAATGGTAAGTCAAGACAACTGGCATACTCCTTACCTCTCATATGTAACCATCTTTTTGTGGTGAGAACATTTAAAAATTTACTCTTAGCATTTCCAAGTGTATAACACACTGTTAACTATAACTAACATGTTATACAATGGATGTCCTCAACTTTTTCCTGTAGGCCAAATGAATTATTTTATCCTTTAATCAGTGTCTCCCTAACTGCCTCACTTAATTTTCTGTATTTTTCCACACTGCTATTTAATCTTCAGATGATCATTTAATATGTACATAATAGGCCACTAATAAATTCATTTTAAGTTACTTACCTACCATTCTGTTAGTCTTAGATTTCTACTGTTCCCTATAAGGTTCAACCACTATTTAAAATGTCATAATCTCATTATACATATAAAGTTTTCATCCTATTATCATGGATTCCTAGAAGTTTCACAAGTGAGTTAAGAGTCAGTAGGAATGAAATTTCTTCTGCAGTACTGCCTACTCTTCCCAAAAGGGTTTGATCAATTTCCATCATCTCATAATACTCTAATGAACTGCTTCACTGTCTGAAGGAGGGACATATCCAGTGGTAATACTCAAGGCCAGCAGAAACAGAACTTTCAAGGCTGGAGTTCACCTCTCTGAAGTGCAGCATGCTGAGACACAGGCAATGCTCAAGTGAGGGTGGACGTTGGCAGAGGCCTGAGCTCACTCTTGATGCACCTGCTGCTGTCTCTTCTGATCAGAGGAGGCGAGCAGGTGGCAAGAACTTGGCAAGAAGCAGGAACCTGCAGAGCAGAGCAATACAAAGGAGCTCATTTCTAGAGTTCTCTGAGAAAGCTGATGGCTCTGCTTTTCTCTTCCATTTCTAATCTCTGAAACTTCTCTTTCAACAAGTATTTACCATTCCTGTTCTATACATATTACTAAGCTGGGTCTAACAGAGGGAAAATTTAAGAAAGCACCGTGATGGACTACATCCCTAAACTTCTGTTGAAGCTCTGACCTCAAAAGTGACTCTATTTGGAAATAGGTCCTTTAGGAGCCAAGTAAAGATTAAATGAAGATGGGCCCTGATCCAAAAGCATTATGTAGTTTCCTTACAAGAAATACTTGCTATCCCTGCATAGGCAAGAAAGGCCATGTGAAATCACAGCAAGAAAGTCGCCATCCACAAGCACCAGGAGGGCCAAGGATTTAACTCAGTGGTTCCACTGCCTGTCTCACAAGTGCAAGGTCCCTAGTTCAATGCCCGGTACCAAAAAAAAAAAAGGAACACAAACACCAGGATATGAACCTGTGACAGAAACCAAAGTGGTCACTTATTCTGAGACTTCAAGCCTTTGAAGCCATGAGAAAAGGTTTAAGTCATATCATACTCACCTCTGAACTTAAAATGGATAGTGTAGCAAGCGAGTAAATTACAAATTTACAAATTACCCAAGTGGGAGAGGAAGAAAAAGGGGTAAGGAAAAGAGCAGTAACTAGGGCTTGGAATGCTGGAGAAGTTAAAGGCAGAAGCAGCCAGGTGTGGTAGCACAAGTTTGTAATCCCAGCATTCTGAGAGGCTGAGGCATGCAGGTAGCAGGTTTGATTCCAGACTAGAAAACAAGGAAAGATCCTGGAAAAAAGAACTGGATATATAGCCCAGTGCAAAGGCCCTTGGTTCAATCCCCAGCATAACCATAAAAAATAAGGTTGTTTTTGGGGGGGTACTTGGGTCCTTGTGCTTGTGAGGCAGGTGGCATAGTCGCACTCATAAGTACGTAGGAGATTATACTATAATGTAATCTTTTTTATTATTTAAATTGAATTTATTGGTACATTCTAGGTAGACAGTACAGTTACATTCGTTACTGGGATCTTGTACCTTTACATGCCAGGCCTTGGTTCTCATTTTTTCCCCTTGTCCCCACCCTCCCTTCACCCCCTCCTCCCCTCCCCACCTACAAACACTTTAATTCCATTTTTATATTTTCTCATATTTTTTTCCTTTTCCCTTATTCCCCTTTCCCTATCCTTCTCACTGTCCCTACACCTTTGGTCCTTTTCTTCCTATTTCACATTGCTAATTATCCCGTTAGGATCTTGAGTACTATTTTAGTTTTTCACACCAGAGAAACTATTTGGTATTTGCATATGTGTGACTTATTTATTTCACTTAGGAGTATATCGTCAAAATGTATCCATTTACCTATGAATGAATCTACTTTCTCATTCTTCATGGCTGAGTAGTATTCCATTTTACTATGATGTAATCTTTACGCGGGCAAGTGTTTGTCCATTTTATTCACTGCTCCACTTCTAGCATTTAGAACAGCTCCAGGCACTTAGCAAGCACTCACAACGTTTATATTGTTCAATGAGCGAATGAGCACCTGAAGTGAATCCTGCCAGAACACTGAAGTTAGAAGACAAAGAAAAGAATATATATATAGCTTGAGAGTCAACAGAAAGCAGGTTCTACAGAGAATAAAATCTGTTTCTCTACCCTACCAAGTGTGATCAAGAAGTTCGGTATATATTTAAATTTTTAAAATGTTTAATTTTAAAAGACACATTGTCACTTTAGGAATTAAAGGTGTAATGGATATTGGGAAATGGGAAGAAAACATTCAAATGGGAAGGGGAACAAGGGAGGGGGAAAGGAAGGAAGGGACAAGAAAAGTGAAAACTGAAGGACAAAAGGAAACAAAGCTTTTATATACAGGAAAAGAGGGGGCTTGAGGGCAAGGGGAAATGGGGAAAAAGAGGGGGGATGTACTGTATGGAGGTGCAAATTCCCATTAAAACATACCAATAAATGTTTTGCTATAAAAAACAAAATTAAAAGATGAAACGTGAATTAAAAGTATTTCCCAGCTGGGCGTGGTAGCGCGTGCCTATAATCCCAGCACTCGGGAGGCTGAGGCAGGAGGATCGCTGTGAGTTCGAGACCAGCCTGGACTACACAGAGAGTTCCAGGTCAGTCTCAACTACATAGTGAGACCCTGTCTCAAAAAAAAAAAAAAAGTATTTCCAACATAAAAAATAGACACAGACACATTGTCATGACTTTTCTTCGAAATGCTACCCCTGCTTTGATCATGCTTATTCCTTATTCTTTCCACTTTCTGAAGCAGTTTGGAAACCCTTCAAGGGTGTCCTGGGCCAGGGATTTAGCTCAGTGGCACGTGCCTGCCTCAGAAGCACAAGGTTAAGTTTGATCCCGGTACCAAAGAAAAGGGTGGGGAGTGTCCAGTGAGGTGTGATCACAAATATCACGAATACTGCTAAGGCAGGAGGTCATAAGGAAAAGGCTGGAGAGAGAATGGAGGGCTGGCCCCTCATGCTTGCTTTCTGGGCTAGACGTGAGGTGTAAAGTAACCAGGGAAACATTTAGGGAAAGGGAGGGCCACCTTGAATCCCGGTTTCTGGGCTGGATCCTCTGAGTTAAACATTAGCACAGGACAGGATGCCCAGGCTGAAACACAATGGGAAAAGGTGACCAGGGAATTTAACTTATACACAGTAAGTCCCCGTTTGTGCCCTCAGCCAACTCTAACCCTAATGACCATGTCACTGACTATGCAGATTTGACATCCCTGTGGACTCTGGATGCCAGATGGTTTCTCTCAGACCAACCCCTCTATGCTACCCCAAACCCTGAGGCTTAAAATCCTCAACACCAAGACCTTCCGTGCCATGAGCTCCTCACTGGCTGGCTCCCACTCTGTGGGGTGGATCTTGTTATTTCTCTTTCAAATAACTCTGATCTTGCTGCTATTCCTGGGCGTGTTACTCAATTCTTTGTGTAGGACATCAAGATCCTGAGCAAGACCCCTAATCTGGTGACACTGCTGCCGAGTATCATTGGTAAAGGGGCTCACAAAAGAGGACTTCCAGAACCGCTTCACACAGTGGCGGTAAGTGTGGGTGGGATAAGTGTGCCGGAGGTGATGAAAAATATTCTAAGGGGGATTACAATGTTGCTTTTGTAATAAATTTTGTAAAATTTAAACATTCTTTGTAGTTTTTTTTTTTTTTTTTTTTTGTTTTTTTT